CCCCCAAGCACTGACCGACCCCATGCTGGAAGGAGTACCCCTGAGGCAAATGCACCCTTTTAATAACTGCTACCCACCTCTCTCCTTACTCGGTGTGTGGCACAGTCGACCAAGGAGAAGATGCGCATGCAATGCCACCGGACAAGCTTGATCATCTGCAAAAAGGAACAGACTAAGCCAGTGTGTAGAATTAAACCCTGTAACGGGGTTGCGCCCACCTCTCATGAGCGCCTCCTGGTCAAGTGCGTGTACCTGCACACTCTCTCTGTTTGTGGTGGGTCTTTGCTGACTCAGCCCTCCAGCCAAGTCATACACAGTCTGTCTGTGAGATCAAAGCAAACCCCTTTCAGGGTTCAAGTCCAACAGGGGCTTTTCTCAGTGCCCTCTGTAATGTCTCTCTGTCTGTTCCTGCTCCAGAATAGAGCGGTGCCCCAGGGCTCCTTCCCTGGAGGCAATGCCTTTGCTGGCCACAGCTCTTCAGCTTGGCCACTACAGTTCAGTCCCCATTTTGGAGTGCCTCAAAGTTCAGGCCACATTCCCAGTAGCTGGGGGTCAGTGGGGAGACCCAGGCTCACCTTCTACTCCAGGTTCCAGCCCAGGGACCCTAGAGATAGCAGCCATTCACAATGTCCCTTGAAATAAACTGCATTGCTGCTATAATTCCCTGGGCCACTTCCCTGTGGCTCCAGCACATTCTTCACTCTTACCTCAGGACCTTGTCCTGGTGGAGTCCCAGCACCATCCACTCTCCTCCAACTCCAGCAAGGACCTGAACTCACATTGGCCCTGCAGATCTTCTTATACTAGCCTGCTGGGTCCTGATTGGCTGCTTCCCACACAGCCGCTCTAGGCAGCTTGGAGAACCTCTCTACTGCCCTTTTCTGGGGCAAAGTGTGGCAGGACCACAAAACCTCCAGTAGGGGGCCTCAGGGCATAGTCCATCCCATCACAAATCCATACAGGTGTATTTTCTCTTGTTAGTGCCATTCTGCATTTTACACTCTCATATTAGTTGCTTTACCTGCTAAGCCTTTTTGTTCTGTCCTCTGGGCATGTAAATTACACCCACTTGTAACTGTTTATTCTGATGTAGCTATGTGTAACCATCATTTACTTCACCTCTGAATTTGGCCCACCTAAGATGAGGAAAGGCCTTTTATAGCAGTGCAGGCAACACATCCCATTCACAGCTGCACATCTCTAGCTTGGCCAAGTGCCGATTTCACAGTGCATGACATTTTACCTCCATGCAGAGGGCTAACAGAAGGCCTATGCCTCTTTCACATGTCTCAAAATGAAGCTTAAGGGGGATTTACATGGTGCATAGGCCTATGCTGCCCCTCTGCACATGGGTGAAATATCAACCCCCCATATGTGTGTATATATATATATATATATTATATTTACACAACTCTAAGAGCCTCACTACTGCACTTCATCTGATTCTCATTGGACTATGCAGAGGTGGGTATCATGACGGGGACATAAGGGGTCAGGCCTAATGACTACAGCCAGAGACAGGAGCTACTGGTCAGAGCCAGAGTCAGAAGCCAGGGTCATGCCAAGGATTAGAGGCAGAATTGGGAGGTAAGAGTCGAGCCAGAGGTCAGAGCCAGAGTCGGAAGCCAGGAATTGAGCCAGAGGGTCAGAACCAGACTTGGGAACCAAGAATCAAGCCAGAGATCAGAGCCAGAGTCAGGATCGAGCAGGGCTGGAGCGGACTGAATCAGGGCAGGAACAAGGCTGGAGGCAGGCCGAGAATAAGGCAGGTCTAAGCTGGAGCAAGGCTGGGAACAAGGCAGGCACAGGAGCAATCGCAGCTGTGGGCATAAAAGTTGAGCAGCCAGCTACCTTCAGCCAGCCAGGTGGTCCGGGCAATCAGGCAATCCTGTTGCAACCCAGCTGAGCTCATTCATCTGCCTGGAAGCTGAGCCGGATAGTCGTCAGCCTCAGCTGAAGGTTTTCAATCCTGACAATGGGGATTCCAAGTCTCTGACACTGCAGCATCTTACCACCCAGCCACTGAATCACCCCTAAAGCAATACAGCTTTTCTAAGCACCATCCCTTTCAATTTTCTTGCTGATACATAATGGGCATAATACAGAAGTGTCATCAATTACTGATAAACAGTTAACTTATAGAAGGAGTTGAGTATCCTGCTATCACTATTTATTTAGAAGAATCGACTTAAGTGGAGAGTTTTATTGTACTGAAATAATGCAATACTGGAGACAGCCTGTAGATGGTGCTATGGTTTGTGTAAGTATTATGTGTAGGGAAGGGCTTGCTAGGAAAAGTTTAGACTAAAAGAGAAAAAGAATACAGCTTGGACAGGTAAAACCCTTCAGAGGCCAGTGGTATCCACAGCCTGTCTGTGCAACTATCCATCGGCTCTTCATAAACATTTAAACCCAGAAACAGACGTCTGTCTCACACCCCTTTGTTCTATCAACACAGCCTTCTCCATGCCATCAGCGGGAGAAGAATGTAGCACTGGTTTTGCTCGGCTGATCACAGGGTGGGAAATATTTCTTCCCTGCTCCAGAATCTGACATATATTTCAAAGAAAGCTTTGTGGGAGCCCAACTGTGCATCACTTTCTATCTGTCTTCCTATACTATAGCGACAGGACTGAGTTGGAATCCCAGATTTCAGCACTGGGGGGAATTCATATCCAGGCGTCATGGCTGAGAATCCTCTCTGAAATATGAGTGTAAGAACCCAGAGCAGAGAAAACTGACTTTGCAATATTCCAACACATTAAATAAAGAGGGTCAGACCCTCAGCTGGTTGTAAATTAGGATTGGCTTCCATGGGACTAAGCTCATTTGCACCAGCTGAAGTTTTAGCCTTCTATGTACACACTCAACATCTCTACTGGTCAAGAGCTACAGATGTTCCTTCACAGCCTCTGCACAGGAGCATACACACCCCATGGGATGCAGCCTGTTGGGTTCAGAGCAGTTCTTCCACCCATGTTCTAGTTCCCTGACCTCCTACTTCATCCTTCATAGCTCCACAGCCCCCCAGAACTCTTTGGATCCTCAGTGCTACCAGTGCCCACATAGCATGGAGGCAAAACACACCCACTTCCATCAGTGCCTGGCCAGAAGATTTTGCCCCATCCTTTTAGACACAAACCTGGCCCTGGTGAGCCATGCATTCATGACCTCCAGGCTTTATTGTTTCCACTCATTATGTCTAAGAACAAAGCCATACACTTTGAAAAGCTTCAGCGGGTACAGAACAGCTAGCTTAGCAACACAGATTGCCTGACGACTCCAAGAGGACTGTCTCTAGCTACCTGACAGATCATGTCTCCCTCTGTGACCATAGCCTCCCGCTCAGCAACATTCTGCTGGAGCCAGGACATTGACAGCTGGTAGCAGATGGAACTTCCCTGGGAGCTGGGCCTAGACTACAGAACTCCAGCTTTGCCAGCCTCACACATACAAAAGCCACAGAAATCATAGAAACATTGGGCTGGAAGTGGAATGGACCTCGAGAGATCATCAAACCCAGCCCCTTGCACTGAGGCAGGACTTAGACCATCCCTGACAGGTGTCTGTCTAATCTGCTCTTAAACACCTCCAACGATGGGGATTCCACAGCCTTCCTTGGAAGCCTATTCCAGTGCTGAACTACGCTTATAATTAGAATTTTTTTCCTAGTATTTAACCTAAATCTCCCTTGCTGCAGATTAAGCCCATCACTTCTTGTCCTACCTTCAGTGAACATGGAGAACAATTGAATCCCGTCCTCTTCATAACAGCCCTTGACATATTTGAAGACTATCAGGTCTTCTCTTAGGGGACGCATACACTACCCGCTGGATCGGCGGGTAGCGATCGATCTATCAGGGATCAATTTATCGCATGTAGTGTAGATGTGATAAATCGACCCCCAATCGCTCTCCCGTCGATTGCTGAACTCTAGCTCGGCGAGAGGTGGAAGCAAAGTCGACGGGGGAGCCATGATGTGCCGCGAGGATGCAAAGTAAGTAATTTTAATTCGATCTAAGATACGTCGACTTCAGCTACGCTATTCTCATAGCTAAAGTTGCGTATCTTAGATCGATCCCCCCCACCCCCAGTGTAGACCAGGCCATAGTCTCCTTTCCTCGACACTAAACATACCCAGTTTTTTAATCTTTCCTCACAAGTCCCACCCAAAATCATGGAATTGGCTTAAAAATCATTAGTTTTAAAAAAAATAAAACTGGGTTCTTTTTCTTTACCCTCAGGTTTTTGAACCTTTAGGGTGCACTATATTCACCTTTTCAAGCCTCTCTCTGCAACCATGAGCACTAGAAAGTTATTTTTTAAAAAAATGAAGTCTGAGATTTTCCACATATTCACAAGACTCCAGGAGCTGAGGCTTTAAGAAATACACTAAATATCATGAGAGTTGGCAACCCTGGGACTCACTCCTGAAAGCAGTAACAACAATCACAGAGCTCACTGCTTTCAGACCCAAATGCAAAACTAATTTATTAAACCTAGCTGTCCCTCTGAAGAATCAGACTTTTAGTGTCTAATGCTGGACACCTAAAAATTGAGGCATCTGAAACCAAAAGCCACTTTTGAAAATGTTGGCCTTAGTCTTCAATAAAGTGTCATATTAAAAACTAGCTTATCTGCTTAATTAAAAAAATAAAAAATATACATTCCCCCCTCCCCTCAGACTCACTCTCTTCCGTCCAAGCGGAAAGCAAAACTTTCTGTCATTATTACTGCCAAACCCTGAAAACTTTAAAAAAATCTAGTCTGGCATGAAAGGTGTCTTCATTTTCTATGTCTTTCATTCCCCGCTCTCCCCCCACACACACCCTTTTAAACACAGCTGTATGAATTTCTCCTGAATGCCAGAGACTGAAAAGGAAGGTTGGAAAATTCTTCATGATTATGAGTTTGAGCAGATACAACCTGAGAAATGTAGATGATGAAAGATAGATCTATAGTTTTAAGTTCAGCCATCCAGTCAAAATAAGGTTACTCACCGGAGATGCCTTCTAATAACTTATATTTATGTGGTGCTTTTCATCCTGAAGTGCTTTAAAGACTCTGCACAAGAGGGATCATTCACCCACCCCCACTAATACAGTTTGGGTGGAATGAATTAGCCACTCTGTGTCAGTTACACAACACTTCTTAGAAAGGAAATTGAAAAACACAGAGCCAGTTGAATATAAAGAAGACAGAACATGCTGGGAGCTGGAATTTTTCCAGACACCCCAACACATCCAAAAGTACTATAGGCTGTTTCAAGGAACATGGATGGTCAGGGCAGTGATTTTACATCCATTTGAAAGTTGGCATCCCCAAGAGCACAACTCTCCCAAGCACCATGGTAGGACGCCTTGGTTTATCTCACCTCAGAAGGAAGAGCTCCAAGATTCTGCAGAATCTGGATTTTCCTTGGAGACCAGTCAGAGCTGTGGGTGCGCAACACTTTGCAGGAACAAGTCTGCAACGGGTCATCAGGCCCATGTTTGATTAGCATCAGCCAGCCAATGAAATCACAGGTGGGGGGTGGCATGAGTGATGAAATGCTGCCCAAGGCCAACTTTTATGAGAGAAAATCACATGATTCTATTTGCCAATGTTATCTACAAATTAATCAGAATAATATAGGGACTGCTGTACTTTTTCCCTCCTATGTCAGTCATGGTGAATAAGAGGCCAGGGATTGATATTTTGGATTTCTGTAGAATCGTTCACCTCAAACGCTGCCAAAGTACTCCACAAACTATATGCATTGCATCATACTAAAAAGAGTATTTCTTTCAAATGGCTGTTCTGTTAGTGGTTGTGGGGGAAAGCCAGCCAATTAGCTCAGAGTGCATTATTTGTATGATGGCAGAACCTCTGAGCCCCAGGATACTAGGAGCTGTACATACATGGTAAGATACAGTCCTTTCTCCCAAGAGCATACAATATAAATATACAAGGCAGAAAGGGGGAGAAGATAGGAAGCATCCCTATTTTACAGATGGAGAATGTAGCAGAAAGAGGTTAAGTGACTCACCTGAGGCCACATTAGAAGTCTGTGGCAGACGATGGAAGAGAACTCAGCTCTACCGAGTCCCAGACAAATGCCTTATCTGCTGCGCATGCATAGGCGCTGACTCCATGGGTGCTCCAGGGCTTGAGCAACCACGGGGAAAAATTAGTGGGTGCTCTGCACCCACCAGGAGCCATGCTCCCCTCCCCACCCCACCTCACCTCACCTCCGCCTCCTGCCCTGAGCGCGCTGTGTCCCCGCTCCTCTGCCTACCTCCCAGTGCTTGCCACCGCCAAACAGCTGTTTGGTGGCGTAGCAAGCTCTGGGAGGGAGGGGGAGGAGCAGGAACGTGGCATGCTCAGGGGAAGAGGTAGGGCCAGGGCGGGTTTTGGGGAAGGAGTCGGAATAGGGGCAGGGAGGGGGCGGAGTTGGGGCAGGGACTTTGGGGAAGGGGTTGGAATGGGGGCAGGGCAGGAGTGGGAGGGGGGCCGGGGTGGAGTTGTGGGGGGCAGAGGGGGTCGAGCACCCACTGGCACGAGTAGAAGTCGGCGCCTATGCGCACATGCATAATAGTGTGAAGTTTTGGACAAGGACACGGAGAGATGCCCACATTCATACCAGAAGTGACATGGGATCTTTACTTTCCACACAGATGCTCAGTCAGCAAAGCCTTTTCATGAGGTCACACTGAGCAAATAGCATAGCATTGAAGGGACCTACCACAGGAGGACGAAGGGCTTGGGACTTGAACGTGTGATTTGAGGTATTTCACAACTGAGGCTCAGGTCACTGGCCGCCCTCTCCTAATCCACGGCTGTATTACCTCGTAATCAGATTGTTATGAAGGTAGCTCAGTCAGAATACACCTACACTGCAATAAAAGACTCACGGCACAGCCGCAGCTGGCCTGGGGCAGCTAACTCGGGCTCTCGGGGCTGAAAATTGCAGTGTAGACATTCGGGCGCAGGCTGGAGCCTGGGCTCAGAAACCCTGTGAGGGGGGTGGGTCTCAGAGCCCAGGCTCCAGCCCGAGCTTGAGCCTCTACATGGCCATTGACCCGAGCTCTGAGACTTGGTGCTGCAGATTTTTTATTGCAGTGTAGACGTGCCCTCACATTAAGCACTACGCCAATGCGAAATCTCAAGCCCCCTTCGTGAGTCTGATGGATTGAGACTGACAAATGAGGGAGACATGGAACGACCAGCAGAAAGCCACGTGTGTACAGCTGATTCGGCAATGCGAAAAAATCCCCATTCTGTATGTCAGAGAAAAAGGCGCTTTGCTCCAGGCCCAGAGAGGAATGTGGCAGATTATGACAGAAAGACCTAAAACATCTGTAAAACATCAGTTAGATTATATTCCTATTGCTTAATGCCCAGCTTTGTTCGGTTGAGCATTAGCAACAACTCATAGCTCCCTTACCTGTAATGCTGGTTTACTTTAAGAAAGCATTAGGGTAAAGTTGTCTCAGCAAGGCCTTTCCTGCCTGTCACCGGGGGGATAAACAGACAAGTAGTTACAAAATCTGACTGCGACTGTCAAAGGCTTCCCACTCCAGGAGAGGTTTTCACATTTTTAAATAATAAATGTGAGGTGGCAACTCACCAAAAGGGCAGGGCCAGTGTTTCTCCTGTCGGCCAAGGCTGATGGGCTTAGAGGATCCGTAGGGTAGTTGTCGTGCTGAAAGCTGCCAGCACTGCAGGTGAGTGTTGGATCCAAAGACAATGCCAGTCCTCATTAAAGCCCATGGGTGTGCCGGTCATGCTCTCTCAGGTTCAACAGAAAGCGCAATAAAGCCCCTTTATGTAGTGAGACAAGAGGGGCTATTGCCCAAGATGCTAGGCCGCATGGAACTAAGCTGTGTGAACTGAAGGGTTTCCCTGAGTGCAAACACAGTGGCCAGGACACTGGCTACAAGCTCTTTGTGTTGGAGGCAGAAAGCCAAGCCAAGGAGTTTTGTGGTGAGCCTGTGAGGGAGCAAACCGACAGGGCTTGTTTGGGCACGGAGTTCACTGGAGTGGCAGATGAGGGGATTTCTGAACAAGGAAACCACCTGCTGCTTGTTTCTGCTGTGTTCAGGGGAAACAGGACCGGGTGTCATTTTCCCCCTAAAGAAATAAATAAAGTTACATCAAGAATACACCCGACTCATATAATACATTTCTCCTCCTAACAGAAACAGAATCCTGCAAGCCTTCGAATGTTGGCTCTCCACTTGGGCCAAAGGGACAACAGTCGTGATCAGCAAGTGTTGCTGATCATCATCAAAGGGCTCCACTGCAGTCAACACACTGAGGAGTAGAGTCTCAGAATTCTGTGAGTGGGAACGGACATTTGGGGATCCCCGTTCTTCAAGAGGGAAATGGACTCACACACCCTCCCCCCAAATGTAGTGCTGGAGAAAGGTGCCAGTCAGTGTGAGTGCCGCTGAGGGAGGCAAGGGCCCTTCGGCACAGATGACAATGGCCCACCCACAGAGAAGAGCAGCTAAATAAAGACTGAGGTCAACAGATGGCTTGGGGACAACTCAGGAAGGGGAGGGATGGGAGTTCAGCAGGAGGATGTTAGAAGGTGAAACTGAGCAGAGAACTCTGGACAAGGGAAAGGAGCCAGACTGACAGCTCTGGAAGCTGAAGTCCTCCATTCACCCACAGAGAGCACAAAACCAACCTGCCAATGGGCCTCGATTCTGAACTGGAATACTTCACATCTACGAGATACGAGGATCTCCTATTTCTGTGCCTTTTCACAGTGCTCACTGTCACAGAGCCTGAGAACCCCTCAATGTTAATCAATGAAGCTTCACAACATTCTTGGGAGGTGGATAAAAGATGATTATCCCCATTTTACGGATGGGGAGACTGAGGCACGGGGAGACTAAATGATTTCTCCCATGGTTACACAAAGAATCAATGGCAGAGATGCCAGTTTGTGACTCTCAGTCCTGGGATTAAACCACAAAACCAACTTCTCCCCTATAACTATTCCCATTTCTCAGTCCATGTAGCCTTTGGCTCATCTGCTGAAGCTGCTAGCAAGAATTTCAGCTGAAGTGGTGGATGGACACTGGCCCAATAGATACTAGAGTTGAACCTTCAACTTATTTCACACAGCCATCAGATGGTATTAACTTTCACAGACCATGAACAGGGACTGGAATTTCAATACAACCTAGAGATAAAAAGTTCCATCTCCCTCCAGTCCCCTAAGCTTCCCCACTACCTAGCTGGTGCCAAACAATTTTGTAGGGGCTGAAAACTGGTTTGTGTTTTGTGTGCACTGTTAGGCAAGTCCTGGAGTGGGAAGGCTGGATTCTGGGTTCATTTTCCGTTCTCAGCGCTGCCACTCAGACAGAACTGCAGGTCCCTAAAATAGGTACAAATAATCATTAGCCAAAGAGGGCTTTGAAAATTTGCCTTGTTTATGCATTCACTGGAGGGTCTAAATCCTGGTAGAGCTTAGAAAAATCCGCCGTTTTCACTAAGGAGCTTTTAACTCTGCCTGGACAAAAGTGCCGCAGAACAGGATAATAAATAAATGTCATGCCACATGTATACACATTTTCTTTCTAGGCTGTTTTCAATTTCTCCTTTCAGGCGTGTTTGCCCTGATGGCTCCCTTCCCCAGCTGTATAAGAAACAGCTTTGGCCCGTCTCCGAAAGCTTTCCAAACAGAAAACGTATTCATGTCCTGGACTTCAGAATGAGTAACCTTTCGCAGCCACAGACAGAAGTGGAATGGAACAGCCTGTGTCATCCTACAATCCTGAGTGTGTCAGCCTAGGTCCTTTGCGCCGTGATAGCTTTCTGTGTGAATTTAGTAGTGGGAACAATACCAGAGAGGGCCTCCTGGAGACAGAAGTCCTCTCATCGCAGAACTTGTATAATGTCGGCATGAGCCAATTATTATTATTTGTATTACCATAGCGCCTAGGAGGAGCCCCAGCAAAGGACAAAGTATAAACACTGACGTGCCACAACCTGACCCGGAGAACCCACCGCTAGGGTGACAAAGCAGTTCAGTCTCTATGGTCCATTATATCAGGTTCAAACTTAGAATATCATAGAATATCAGGGTTGGAAGGGACCTCAGGAGGTCAT